TGTAGATTCTGGTTATCAACCCTTTGTCAGTTGCATAGTTTGCAAATATATTTTCCCATTCTGTCGGTTGTCTCTTCACTTTCCTGACTGTTTCTTTTGAAGTACAGAAACTTCTCAATTTGATGCAATCCCAAATGTTAATTTTGGCTTTGACTGCCTGTGCTTCTGGGGTGTTTTCCAAGAAGTCATTGCCGGTACCTATATCTTACAGGGTTTTTCCAATGCTCTCTAATAATTTGATGGTGTCAGGTCGTAGATTTAAGTCTTTAATCCATGTTGAGTGGATTTTTGTGTAAGGTGAAAGGTAGGGGTCTTGCTTCATGATTCTGCACGTGGAAATCCAATTTTCCCAGCACCATTTATTGAATAGACTGTCCTTACTCCAGGGATTGGTTTTGGATCCTTGATCAAATATGAGTCGGCTGTAGATGTTTGGATTGATTTCTGGTGTTTCAATTCTGTTCCATTGGTCTATCCATCTGTTTCTGTACCAGTACGATGCTGTTTTGATAACAACTGCCCTGTAGTATGTCCTGAAATCTGGTATTGTGATGCCTCCAGCTTTGTTTTTGTTGTACAAGATTGCTTTAGCTATTCGAGGTCTCCTGTGTCTCCATATAAATTTCAGCATCATTTTTTTCCAGATCTGAGAAGAAGGTCTTCGGTATCTTGATTGGTATTGCATTGAATCTATAAATTGCTTTTGGGAGAATGGACATTTTGATGATACTGATTCTTCCAATCCATGAGCATGGAAGATTTTTCCATTTCTTGGTATCCTCTTCTATTTCTTTCTTTAAGGTTTTGTAATTTTCATCGTAGAGATCTTTAACGTCCTTGGTTAAGTTTATTCCAAGGTATTTGATTGTTTTTGTAGCTATTGTGAATGGGATTGATCCTAGAAGTTCTTCCTCAGCCATGGCATTGTCTGTGTATACAAAGGCTGTTGATTTTTGTGCATTGATTTTATACCCTGCTACTTTGCCAAAATCTTCTATGAGTTCCAATAGTCTCTTAGTAGAGTCCTTTGGGTCCCCTAAATAAAGAATCATATCATCTGCAAAGAGGGATAGTTTGAGTTCTTACTTCCCAATTTGTATCCCTTTAATTTCTTTTTCTTGCCTAATAGCTCTGGCTAGAACTTCCAGAACTATATTGAATAGCAGTGGTGAGAGTGGGCATCACTGTCTGGTACCAGATCTCAGTGGAAATGCTTCCAACTTTTCCCCATTCAATAGGATGTTGGCTGTGGGTTTTTCATAGATTGCTTTGATTGTATTGAGGAATGTTCCTTCCAAACCCAGTTTGCTTAGAGTTTTCATCATGAAAGGGTGCTGTATTTTATGAAATGCTTTCTCTGCATCTATTGAGATAATCATATGGTTTTTCTTCTGCAGTCTGTTAATGTGGTGTATCACATTGATTGTTTTGCACACATTAAACCATCCCTGCATACCAGGGATAAATCCCACTTGGTCTGGGTGGATGATCTTTCTGATGTGTTGTTGCATTCTATTGGCGAGAATTTTATTGAGGATTTTTGCATCTGTGTTCATCAGGGATATTGGTCTGTAATTCTCTTTCAATGCTGCATCTTTTTCTGGCTTAGGAATTAAGGTGATGCTGGCTTCATAGAAAGAATTTGGGAGGACTCCCTCTTTTTCGATTGTTCTGAATAGTTTGAGAAGAATTGGAGTCAGTTCTTCTTTAAATGTCTGGTAGAATTCAGCAGTTAATCCATCTGGTCCTGAGCTTTTCTTTGTTGGGAGGGCCTTTATTACTGTTTCAATTTCTGTCTCAGTTATGGGTCTGTTTAGGTTTTTGATGTCTTCCTGGTTCAATTTAGGTAGGTTGCATGTGTCCAGGAATCTATCCATTTCTGATAGGTTTCCCTGTTTGCTGGCATACAAGTCCTTGTAGTAATTTCTGATGATTCTTTTTATTTCTGTGGTGTCTGTTGTTATGTTTCCTTTTTCATCTCTGATTTTATTGATTTGGGTCTTTTCTCTTCTTTTTTTAGTTAGTTGAGCCAATGGGGTGTCAATTTTGTTTATTTTTTCAAAAAACCAGCTCCTCGTTTGGCTGATTTTTTGTAATGTTTTTTTGGATTCAATCCTGTTGATTTCTTCTCTGATTTTAATGATTTCTCTTCTCCTACTAGATTTGGGTCTAGTTTGCTGTAGGTTTTCTAGATCCTTGAGGTGAATTGAAAGCTCATCTATTTGGTGCCTTTCCAATTTCTTGATGTAGGCACCTATTGATATAAACTGTCCTCTTAACACTGTTTTTGCTGCGTCCCATAAGTTTTGGTATGTTGTGATGTTATCCTCATTTACTTCCAGAAAATTTTTGATTTCTCTTTTAATTTCTTCTATGACCCATTGTTCATTCAGGAGCATGTTGTTCAATCTCCATGTGTTTGCATATGCTCTAGGGATTCCTGAGTTGCTAATTTCCAACTTCATTCCTTTATGGTCTGAGAAGCTGCATGGTATGATTCTAATTCTTTTGAATTTGCTGAGACTTGCTTTATGGCCTAGTATGTGGTCAATCCTAGAGAAGGTTCCATGTACTGCTGAGAAGAATGTAAAATCTTTAGCTGTAGGATTGAAAGTTCTGTGTATATCTGTTAGATCCATTGGCTATAGTGTCATTAAATCTACTGTATCCTTGTTGATCTTCTGTCCTGTTGATCTGTCTATTTCTGAGAGTGGAGTACTGAAGTCCCCTAGTACTATTGTATTGGGGTCTAAGTCTCCCTTTAAGTCCCTTAACAAATCTTTTAGATAAACCGGTGCCCTGTAGTTAGGTGCATATGCATTGATAATTGTTATATATCTTCTTGTTGAATTGATCCCTTAATCATTTTATAGTGTCCCTCTTTGTCTCTCTTAACAGTTTTTGTGGTAAAGTTTATGTTGTCTGATATTAAGATGGCTACGCCTGCTCTTTTTTCATTTCTGTTGGCATGGATTATCAGGAGCCATCTGAGGGGCAGGCAGGTGGACGTGTAGTGATTTCCCATGGAACTCATGCGATTGGGCTCCTCTGGTGAGAGGGACGAGTGGGGGCATTGTCAGGGTTGGGGAGACTTTCCCAGCAGCTTTGGCCACTTTTTTCCATTCTTTTTTTTTAAGTATTATTTTATTTATTTGAAAGAGTTACAGAGAGAGGTACAGCCAGAGAGAGAGAGAGGTCCGTCTTCCATTCTGCTGGTTCACTCCCCAAATGACCGCAATGGCCAGAGCTGAGCTGACCCGAAGCCAGGAGCCAGGAGTTTCCTCTGGGTCTCCCATATGGGTGCAGGGGCCCAAGGACTTGAGCCATCTTCTACTGCCTTCCCAGGCCACAGCAGAGAGCTGGATTCAGAAGAGGAGCAGCCAAGACTGGAACCAGCGCCCAGATGGGATGCTGGCAGTGCAGGTGGCGGCTTTACCCACTACACTGCAGCGACAGCGCCGGCCCCCCAGACATTCTCTTAATAAACACATTACTGTTCCTTGGTCTTCCAGGAAGTCAACAAGTGAAATGCCTTAAGCACCCCCATAAACTGTTGCCTTCATCTTCGCTCTGGAGCGGCTACATGTTTTCTTTGAACCACTTCCACCACTTGGTAGTAACTGCTTTGATTACGCTTTGTCCTCAAGATCACACTGGGAAAGCCATGTTTTATCCGTTACTGTTCTTCCAAGAAATGCTCAGGATTTTAATCCCCCTTGTTTAAGATTTCCATTGAAAGCGCCTCTCTTGTCTTCAGCTGAGCCAGATGCAAGCATTTTGGCACTCTTCAAGACAAAAGTTCGCTCAAATTTAATTTTCAATCACAGTTATGCAAGCTGAACCAATGGAGACGTCTTCAGTGTTGGCTGTTGCTTTTGCGGTTAATCATTGGTCCTTTTCAATCAGGCCATGAGCTAGATCAACTGTTTCCGGGAAAATTGAGATGGATGATCCGGTGGGGTGGGCTTCATTCATAACATTGTCTCACCCCTTTCTAAAACAAGTTATCCATTGCAAACTGCTGATTTCTTTGAGGGCCCTGTCCCCATAAACTCTCTGTAAAGCATCAAGGATTTTACCATCCTTCCAACAAGAGCGTCGCCGTAAATCTGATGTTTGTTCTTGCTCAATTTTCGCAGAATTCATGTTGCTCTAATAAGGCAGCTCTTTTTCTTTCTTTTACATAAATCTAAGCAGATTACTTTCCTGTTTTTAAAGCCTTCAATGGCTTCCAGAACCTATAGACTATCATTCCACACATCTTTTAAAAAAAATTTATTTTGTTTATTTGAAAGGCAGAGTTACAGAGAGAAAAAAGGAGAGACAGTGAGTCTTTCATCCACTGGTTCACTCCCCAAATGACTACAACAGCCGGGCCTGGGCCAAGTCCAAGCCAGTAGCTTCTTCCAGGTCTCCTATGTGGGTGCAGGGGCCCAAGCACTGGGCCATCCTCCACTGCTTTCCCAGGTGCATTAGCTGGGAGCTGGATCGGAAGTGGTGCAGCCAGGACTTAAATCTCCGCCCATTTAGGATGGTGTTGCGGGAGGCGCCTTTACCAGCTACACCATAATGCTGGTCTCAGGGGAGCTCTTTTCAAACTGATATTTTATTCTTCTTAGTGCCTCAAACTAGTTGCTGTTCAGACATATTATAACTAGTTAATACCAGTTCATTGTGGTGCAAAAAAAAAAAAAAATTGAAATCCAAGCATAGTTTTTTCATAACATGCATTTCCTATGAACTTTTTGAAGACCCCTTGTATCTGAGGAAGGTGAGTTTATTTTTTGTTTAAAAAGTTGTCCTTTAATAAGCAGTGTAATGAAATAGAATCAAGAGGAAGGAGGTTTTTCTTCTGAACTCTTGGGTAACTGCTGGTGACCTCGTATACTTGCAGGCCAGCTGGGGAACAGGTGGTGATCAATGAGAGGTCATTCAGAGGTCATGCTATTGCTGGGCACTACTGCCCTCCCACTGGGCAGAGTTCAAGGGCAGTCCCAGAAGCTGCTCTCGAGGGTGGCAGCAACGCCCAGTGTTCTCTGGCGCAAGACCACGGGAGTTGAAAACATGGCTTCATCATGCGGATCTGAGAAGCTTGTGGCAAATTACCTAAACCTTCTGTGTCTCAGTTCCTCATCTGTGAAGTGAGCAACGTAACCTACTTGGTGAGTTCTTGTAAACGTTAATTCATAATGTTAATTATTTAATTAATTAAATTAATTCATAATGAGGGGGGAGAGGGGGAGGGGGAGAGGGAGAGGGAGGGGGAGGGAGAGAGGGAGAGGAAGGGGAGAGGGGGAGAGGGAGAGGGAGGGAGAGGGGAAGAAGGGGGGTAGGAGAGACGAAGGGGGAGAGGGACCTAGGTCTCCTTCAGGGGTGGTAGGGACCCAACTATTTAAGCCACCACCTGCTGCCTCCCAGGTGCCCTTCACCAGGAGGAAGCTGGAACTGGGTAGAACGGGGTTGTCTTAACTGCTGTACAAATGCCCACTCCTAAGCAGCTGGGTGCCAGGTTCTGTGCTGACTGCTGGGGGTGGAAAGAGAATGAAGACAGCTGAGGACCTACATCAGGGTACAGCAGAGAGGGGGTGGCCTGTGTGCTCTTGGAAACTGGGCAAGGGTGGCCATGGCCAGCATAGAGGCAAGAAGGTGGGAAGATCTCAAAAATGAGGAGGGTTACAGTAAGAATAAAAAACCATAAATGTGAAGACAGCTGGATTTGACTTCCAAGCCTCTCACCTCCGCCTCTGTTCTAGAAAGCTCTTGGTGCAATCTGGCCACACCTTAAGCTTAATGACCTCAAGAGCAGCAGGAAGATTCTCCCTTCGAGGGCTTCCTGGACAGTCTGGAGGCTACAGCTGGGTGTTGGGGGCTGAGTAAGGGAGCCAGCTGGGCAGAGTCTCTGTGCTTGTCATCTCTGTAGGCTGGGCCCCAAAACCTCTCCCGCTTGGCTTGGGATCATTAGTTTTGTTTCAGAATGTGCATGATTCTGTTGTGCATTTAGTGCAAGAATCGGCTCACTCCATCCCAAGAGCATAAATCAGGGAATGAACGGCGGGGATGCCAGGGAGACTTCCCCATCAGCCCCTCGGCTCCAATCCTGGAGCTCTCTTGTCCAACGAGCTCAGCCCAGGTGGGATGTTCGTGTTCCCCTGGCAGGGAGGGAACACCCCTGAGGCTAACACAAAGGCTCCTAACTCCCAGATGCGGACAGGCGTTGATTTACTAGTAAGGAAGAAACAAACGGAGCTGTCCCCGCTGCTTCTCTGCCCCTCATCAGCTCCACATGACTGACATCTCTGAGCCAGCGCCAATCCCCGGGGACCCACCAGCGACCTGGCAGCTGTTCTTCTTGCACAGAATTCAGTTCCGCTCACTGCCAGCTGCGTGGCTGGACAGCTCAACGCTGCCACGGGCGCTCCCAGAACCTCCACGTCCCAGGTCCTCTGAGGGCTCCCTCCTGACCACGCTGGCCGACCTCCAGGTACTGCTGGGCCTACACTAATCCTTTTCAAAAGCTTAAAGAAGGGCAGCTGGCGCTGTGGTGTGGTGGCTTAAGCCGCCTCCTGCCATGCTGGCGTGCCATATGGGTACCAGTTTGAGTCCTGGCTGCTCCACTTCCGGTCCAGCTCCCTGCTAACGTGCCTGGGAAAACAGAAGGCAGCCCAACTGCTTGGGCCCCTGCACCCACGTGGGAGACTCAGAAGAAGCTCCTGGCTCCTGGCTTTCATCTGGTCCAGCCCTGGCCATTGTGGCCATTTGGGGAGTGAACCAATGGATCAAAGATCTGTCTCTGTCTCTTCCTTTTTCTGTAACTCTGCCTTACAAATAAATAAAATAAATCATATATATATACATATATATAAATTGAATGAGCACATGTAAAAGGAAAATATTTTTTTTTGACAGGCAGAGTGGACAGCAAGAGAGAGAGACAGAGAGAAAGGTCTTCCTTTTTCCATTGGTTCACCCCCCAATGGCCACTGTGGCCGGTCTGCTGTGGCTGGTGTACCGCGCTGATCCAAAGCCAGGAGCCAGGTACTTCTCCTGGTCTCCCATGGGGTGCAGGGCCCAAGCACCTGGGCCATCCTCCACTGCACTCCCTGGCCACAGCAGAGAGCTGGCCTGGAAGAGGGGCAACTGGGACAGAATCCGGTGCCCCGACTGGGACTAGAACCCGGTGTGCCGGTGCCACAGATGGAGGATTAGCCTATTGAGCCGCGGCGCCGGCCAAAAGGAAAATATTTTAAAAAGAAAGAAAAGAAAGAGATCATGATCCCTGTCACACAGAGGCTTGGAGGGAGGAAGCGCCTGCTCCAAGGTGCAGAGCCAGCAGGTGACCGGGCCTAAGCTTCATCACAGACCTGTGTCTGATTTCCTCACTACCCGGCTTGGTCAGGTGGTATTTTTGGCCCCACAAGGATGAGGGCTTAATATTCCAGTACACCATTGCCAGCCAAAGCAGAGGACAACGGTGACTTGTTTGTGACCCTGTACCCTCTTGGGAAAACAAATCTGCTTGATCCCCAGGGCTGCCCATTCCGTGCAAGGCCTGGGTCCTTGTGTTTTAATGAACTCTTCCAGTGATTCTGACATGAGATCCTGGTGCAAGGCTGGGGTGTTTGGGGGTTGAGTATGGGGAGCAGGATGGGCAGAATCTCTGTGCTTGTCATCTCTGTAGGCTGGGCTACAAAACCTCGCCCAGCTCAGTTCGAGATCATTAGTTTTGTATCAGAATGTGTGTGGATTCCCGGGTGTTAACTCTCCAGGCCCTCATAGCCCTCATCTTATTCAATCCTCCAAAAAAGCCCTATTGGGTAAAACTATTTTTATGTCTAGGTTTAAAAATATATGTGTTCATTTATTTTTATTTGAAGGGCAGAGAGAGGAGAGACAGATCTGTTATCCATTAGCTCACTTCCCAAATACCCACAACAGCCAGGGGCCAGGCCAAAGTCAGGAGGCCCGAACTCAGTCTGAGTCTCCCACATGAGTGGCAGGGATGCCACCACTTGAGCCATCACCTGCTGCCTCCCAGGGTGTGCATTAGGAGGAAGCTGGCATTTGCAGCAGAGCCAGGACTCAAACCAGGCTCTCCGATAGGAGATGCTGGCGTCTTAAACCCTGAGTCAAATACCTACCCCATGTTCAGTTTTTAATGAAGACTGAGGCAGAGAAGTTTCTGTAAGCTGCGCAGGTGTCCTAGCTGACATGCAGCTGGCCAGGCCATCAAGCACAGGTGATTCAGCGCCAAAGATGGCAGCCATGGCTGCTACTCCACCTGGCCCCCAGATTAGCCTTGCTTCATGTTTCCAGGGTTTTCTGGAGAAAGCACCTTCCCTCTGGTGAAATGAATTACCTGGTGGGAATACATCACCAACCACAGGACAGAGGTGGAGGGGACAGCGAATTTTGCAAGTGACACAATCGCTGGCGCTTCCCTGCTGTTCCACCCCGAATCCGGCGGCGCAGACACCAGTTCCCGTGCAGCCAGCCTGCCCCGCTCACCCCGGCATTCGTGTCTCCCATTGCCCTGTCCCAGGCTTGCTCCCAGGAATGCACCAGAAATCGTGAGTGGGTAAGAAGGAACGGCAACGAGAAAGATTAAGAGGCAACCACTGTCTTGGGGAGCAGTGATACTCCCTGAGGTCGCCATTTGCCTGAAAACAGAGCATGGAGTCATGCAGACAGTGACACGTTACCTGGAAACACCAAGCCCTCGTGCACATTGTGTGTGAAAGTCTAGGTGCCCTCTGCGCTATTTGGAGAAGGTGCGAAGATGCCCTCCCGAGCCCAGTGGTTAGGAATCAGGTACCAAAGTCCAGCAGACCAGGGTGGGCTGCACTTGATCTACTGATTCCCAATGACATGACCCGAGACCAGTATGTGACCTCCTCGTACCTCCACTGTCTCTTCTAGAAATGAGAATAGTGTAGTCCTTGCCTCATGAAGGGCTCTAAGGACCAAGAAGCGGAAGGCTGAACCCTTCACAGCGGCTCTGGAGGGAAGCGGTAACCCCCTAGAGAGACCCATGTCTGTCTCGGTTCTGCCATCCCCCTGGCAATGACTTATCTCCTTCCCTCCCACACAAGGACACCTGATTCCCTACAGACTCTTCCCCCTGCCAGGCATCCATCCCAGAGGACTTGCCTCCCCTCCTGCCTCGTTCTTGGCTGTGTTCTTGGCTTTGAGACAGGTTTCTTAAATTGTTTTCCGGAGTTGCAAGTGACTCAGCCGTTGCTTAGGGATTTAATTAACTGGCAGTCTGAGGCTTGAAAGAGACAAGCCTCTGGGGACTTCTCCCTTCCTTGGTTGGTTGGGAGCAGGGTGAGAATGGAATGAGAAATCCTCTAGAACTACACTGTCCAGTGTGGGAGCCACTGCACACGTGGCCACTGAGAACTTGAACTGTGCAACCTAAAGAAAGATGTGCTTTATGTACCATGTAGGTGCAGAGGACCCAAGCACTTGGGCCACCCTCGGCTGCTTTCTCAGGCACATTGCTAGGGAGCTGGATCAGCAGTGGAGCAGCCAGGACTCGAACCATTGCCCATATGGTATGGCAGCACTGCAGACAGCAGCTTAACTGGCTGAGCCACAATGCTGCCTCAATAATTTTTAATTTATTATAAGTTGAAATAATATTTTTGATTTATTGGTTTCACTTTTTAAAATGTGGCTACTAGGCCATTTAAAAGTACCTCTGTGACTGTGGATGGTAGTGTTCTAGAACATTCATAATTTAATAATTTAATAACTCACCAACACTTCTTGGAAGTGACTTTAATGTAGGTCTATCTCAGTCCATTTTGTGCTGCTATAAAACATACTTAGGGGCTGGTGCTGCGGTATAGCGGGTAAAGCCACCGCCTGCAGTGCTGGCATCCCATTGTTAGACCCTCGGAGTGAGGATGCTAACACGTCGAGAGGCACACCCCAAAGACTCAGAGTCCAGATCAGCTGATGCAAAAGCAAGAGGATTTATTCGGCGTCTGCAAAGACGGACCTCCTGAACTCGGGAGTCCAGAGAGTGCCCCCAGCACAAAGCCACACAGTTTATATACCCGCAGCGACCAATCAAAAGCACTATAGAGTCCATGCATACAGCAGTCCAATCCGCGAGCTGATCATGTGAAGGGCATGCGTCTTCTATCCAATCAGCTACGGGATCACATGGGAGGCATGCACCTTGTCGCCATTTTGTTGTTTACTTCTTTAGTAGTTCCTTTCCCTGCCAGCCCATCTTGTTCACCCTGAGGGGGACGACGTCTCGCTCCCTTTGTTCCCCTGGTGGGAGAGCGGTGTCCACTTCCCACACTGTTATTTGAGTATTAGGAGGCATACAAACTGGGTTAGGTCTTAGCACAGCCAGGCACAAGTGTCGCAGCTAGCTAAGCATAGGGTCCCTTATTTTTATAGCTGCACCTAATTTTAGCTTTGGGGGAAAAAGTTTAGGGCTATAATTTTTAACTTTAATTTTATTTGGGGCAAAGGTAACTTCTTGTTTTTAATGGTATTGGCTTAGGTCACTCCATCTTGGTTTGATTTTTAAGGTTCTTCACCATATGGGCACTGGTTTCAGTGCCCGCTGCTCCTCTTCCGATCCAGCTCTCTGCTATGGCCTGGGAAACAGTAGAAGGTAGCCTAAGTCCTTGGGCTCCTGTGTTCATGTGGGAGACCTGGAAGAAACTTCTGGCTCCTGGCTTTGGGTTGGCTCAGCTCCAGCCATTGGGGAGTGAACCAGCAGATGGAAGACCTCTCCATCTCTACCTCTCTCTGTAACTCTTTCAAATAAATAAAATAAATCTTAAAAAAATAATATCTCTTTCTGCCTGCGGACGCCACCGAGGAAGCATCGTCGAGTTCTCTCTTCCCACCGCCGTCATGTCGAAGTCAGAGTCGCCCAAGGAGCCCGAGCAGCTGCGGAAGCTCTTCATCGGAGGGCTGAGCTTTGAGACGACCGATGAGAGCCTGAGGAGCCATTTTGAGCAATGGGGCACGCTCACGGACTGCGTGGTAATGAGAGACCCGAACACCAAGCGCTCCAGGGGCTTTGGGTTTGTCACCTACGCCACCGTGGAGGAGGTGGATGCGGCCATGAACGCAAGGCCACACAAAGTGGATGGAAGAGTTGTGGAACCAAAGAGGGCTGTGTCGAGAGAAGATTCCCAAAGACCAGGTGCCCACCTCACTGTGAAAAAGATCTTCGTGGGTGGCATTAAAGAAGACACTGAAGAGCATCACCTCCGAGATCACTTTGAGCAGTACGGGAAAATCGAGGTGATTGAGATCATGACTGACCGAGGCAGTGGCAAGAAGAGGGGCTTTGCTTTTGTGACCTTCGACGACCATGACTCCGTGGATAAGATTGTCATTCAGAAATACCACACTGTGAATGGCCACAACTGTGAAGTGAGGAAGGCCCTGTCGAAGCAGGAGATGGCCAGCACTTCGTCCACCCCGAGAGGTCGAAGTGGTTCTGGAAACTTTGGTGGTGGTCGTGGAGGTGGTTTTGGTGGCAATGACAACTTTGGTCGTGGAGGAAACTTCAGTGGTCGTGGTGGCTTCGGCAGCAGCCGCGGTGGAGGTGGTTATGGTGGCAGTGGGGATGGTTACAATGGATTTGGTAATGACGGTGGTTATGGAGGAGGCGGCCCTGGTTACTCTGGAGGAAGCAGAGGCTATGGAAGTGGTGGACAGGGTTATGGAAACCAGGGCAGTGGCTATGGCAGGAGTGGCAACTATGACAGCTATAACAACGGCGGAGGCGGCTTTGGCGGTGGTAGTGGAAGCAATTTTGGAGGCAGCGGAGGCTACAGTGATTTTGGCAATTACAACAATCAATCTTCAAATTTTGGACCCATGAAGGGAGGAAATTTTGGAGGCAGAAGCTCTGGCCCCTATGGTGGTGGCGGCCAAAATTTTGCCAAACCACGAAATCAAGGTGGCTATGGTGGTTCTAGCAGCAGCAGCAGCTATGGCAGTGGCAGAAGGTTTTAATAACTGCCAGGAAACAAAGCTTAGCAGGAGAGGAGAGCCAGAGAAGTGACAGGGAAGCTACAGGTTACAACAGATTTGTGAACTCAGCCAAGCACAGTGGTGGCAGGGCCTAGCTGCTACAAAGAAGACATGTTTTAGACAATACTCATGTGTATGGGCAAAAAAACTCGAGGACTGTATTTGTGACTAATTGTATAACAGGTTATTTTAGTTTCTGTTCTGTGGAAAGTGTAAAGCATTCCAACAAAGGGTTTTAATGTAGTTTTTTCTTTTTTTTTCTTTTGCACCCATGCTGTTGATTGCTAAATGTAATAGTCTGATCATGACGCTGAATAAATGTGTCTTTTTTAAAAAAATAATAATAATAATATCTGAGACTGAGTAACTTACAAAGAATGAAAATTTATATTCTAGTCCTGGAGGCTGGAGGTTCAAGAGCAAGGCACTCGCAAGGTCAAAGGCTCTGCTGCTGGGTCCTCACAAGGCAGAGGGGGGAGGGCAAGAGATGGAGGAGGGGTGAGGGGACTGAGCCCACTTCCGAGAGTGTTCTACAATAAAGGCATTAAATGCCTCCTGTTAGACCCCATCTCCCAACACTGTTGGATTGGGGATTAAGCTTCCAACCCCTAACTTTCTGGGGGCTGCATTCAAACCACAGTAATCTTCTTTTACCTCTTTGAAGTAGGAATGGTTATAAACAAGTTTCAATTAAGACCAGCGTCTGGGCATTCAGTAGGTTTGCTTGGCTGCAGCAGATCTGAACTGGGAGATGATCAGATGGAAGAACACTCACTTGGGAAGCAAGAAACTGGACTTGTCAGCCTTGCCACTCCATGAAGTAGCTGTGTGACCGTGGGAAAATCACTGCCCGTCTCTGGACATCAGAGTCTTCACTTAGAAAACAGAGATTTGTTGGGCCAGAATCCAAGAGTGGGAAATTAGTAGCCTGTGGGCCAAACATAGCCATAGATTTGTGTTTTACTACGTATTTAATTCCATACTTCTGGGTAGGAGACAGGCACCCTCCTATTGACTGTTGCTCCCAGCATTTCACACACTTACATGACCAAAATCTTGGAGGTATTTGAGTTTGCAAACTTCAGCCGTAAATTTTATTATATTCTTAAGACTAAAGGGTATTGGCCGGCGCCGCGGCTCACTAGGCTAATCCTCCGCCTTGCGGCGCCGGCACATCAGGTTCTAGTCCCGGTCGGGGCACCGGATTCTGTCCTGGTTGCCCCTCTTCCAGGCCAGCTCTCTGCTGTGGCCAGGGAGTGCAGTGGAGGATGGCCCAGGTGCTTGGGCCCTGCACCCCATGGGAGACCAGGATAAGTACCTGGCTCCTGCCATCGGATCAGCATGGTGCGCCGGCCGCAGCACGCCAGCCGCGGCGGCCATTGCAGGGTGAACCAACGGCAGAGGAAGACCTTTCTCTCTGTCTCTCTCTCTCACTGTCCACTCTGCCTGTCAAAAAAATAAAATAATAATAATAATAAAAAAGACTGAAGAGTATGTGTCCAAATTAAGCATTTAAAATTTTTTATTTAAAACAGTTTTCTTTTAATTTGAGAGGAAGAAGTGGGGAGAGAAGGAGGGAGGAGAGAGAGAGAGAGAGAGAGAGAGAGAGAGAGAGATACCATCTACCAATTCACTCCCCAAATGCCCATGATGGCCAGCACTGAGCTGGGTAGAAGATGGGGGCTGGAAACTCAATCCAGGTCTCCCACGTGGTTGGCATGGCACAGACCCAACTACTTGAACCATCACCACTGCTTCCCACAGTCTGTGTTAGCAGGAAGCTGGAGTCGATAGCCAGAGCTGGGAATCCAACTTAGGCACTCAGGTCTGGGGAGTCCTAACAGCTGGACTAAGCACCCACCCCTGGCTGCAGATTTGAAACTTCAGGCAGACAGAGAGCACTGGCTGATTACTTCCATTCATGCTAATGCTGACAATTCTTAGAGTTGGTCCGGACCGGGGGGGGGGGGGGGTGGTCTCTAATCTCCAGCCCCAAATTTTTGTTTCTCCTTCTAATCCTCTTTTTATATCATGTTACATCTTGAATTTCCAACAAAAAGAGCACATGGCCTCCTGTAGAACCACAGAATATTAAACTAGAAGGTGCCTTAAAAAATAATCCATTTCATTTTACAGATGAGGAAACCCAAAACAAATTGAGAGCATACATTGCTTTTATACCTGTATATGTCAGTGATTTTATTCATCTTAGATTAAAAATAAGCTAAAATATAATTATTCTTTATTCATATCCAGTGCTTACTTGAAATTCCTTTACATGAATTTTTCCCCCATCCAGGCAGTATTTTTTTTTTTTACAAAATTTCAATGGGATGACTAGTTAGCGAAAGAAACAGTAGTTTCCTTGTGATTATACTACATAAAACTTGCAACAAAAAATAGGTAAATGTAGCCCATGCAATGAAAGTAAATAGCTCAAGGATTTTGTAGCACTGAAAGGAGTCTTTTTTGCAGGGATAATAGCAACTGGGGTATGAGCTACGGCTTCTGCATATTAAGCACACGGCTTTGTCTCCTTCACCTCAGTAATGGGAGAGAGCAAAATCTGATTTGATGGGGCAAAGGAAAAGACCATAAATAAGGGGTGTGTTGTTTCCTGGGGGACAATCTTCCTCATGGCTGTCTGCCCAGGAGCCCTTTCTTCTCGGGGAAACCACACAGCCAAGATAAGGTGAGGAACCAGAAGAACCAGAGACCCCAGAGGCTGAGAGGGAGCAGAGATGAGCTGTGCCTCCAGGGTCCAGGCGGCGGCCAATGTCAATGCTGAATCCACCCAGCCAGGGAAGCTGCATTTGTGCTCTCTTTCTGGGGAAACTCAAGGTCAGGGATAGGGGAGGTCTCCCTCCCGCAAAGTTAGCTGGTCACAGGCACCCCAGAACTATCCAAAGATCTGATCACAGCCAAACACTGCTCCCATGCTAACCTTGGCTACAAGGAGTAACTCCTGGTGTGGCTCCCAGCTGCACTACCCATCACAGCCGGGACCTCCACCCTTAGAAAGCCAATGCCCCAGAGGAGAAAAGACTGCTCTGCCCTCACACACAGAAGCACCAAAAAGGTAAATGTTCGAGCTTGCCGGAGGCAGCAACGTGACAGAAACCCATCTCCCCATCGAGAGTTTAGAAGATGATGAGAATGAAGAGTGACACAGATTGAGCGATACAGATTTTCCCTGCAGGAAGGGTTCGTTCCTTCTTGGCGCACGAAGGTTCTAGCAACAGGGTCTGTGTCGCCCTTTGTGTCTCCAGTGATCTAGCTGCTTCTGCAGGTGCACCCAGAACGCTGCTTCTCCCAGGAAGTCTTCTCCAAGCTTCCGCTCACCAGATTTCCTCTTTGATTTGTATCATTCGTTTGCGATGCCCTTAAATCTGCCCTGGAACTGCTGTCTGATATACTTATCCAGGTGTTCCGTAGCGACAGCTAAGACAACACTGCTTCCAACAAGAGCCTAGGGAAGCAGGCTCTGCAGCGTCCAGGGCCCTGTGCCTCTCAGCTTCTCCCCCCCC